AAAAATGATGAGCATGAGTCATGAGTCATGAGACATGATGGATGATATTCATAAGATAAGAAGCGCCAATATGAAATGGTAATTAAGAAATAGCACTGACATGAAAAAGAGCACGCCCAAACCATCCAGCAAATGTAGTAGGATTGAGAAGCCTGTTTAAGAAGAAGAATATTAAAGGTTAGGTTAACTAGAACCAGAACTGAGACATGAATGATAAGAAGAATCCATCCAAAGTCCTAACTAACCTCCCTGCTTGGCAGTAAAATAATATTTGCGGGTGCTGCATAACAGTTTTTTCAGTGAGATCTTTGTCAAGAACACTGACTAGAACAGGAACACTGGTGTAGAAAACATTATAAGCCATGAGGCTCACAGAGTTGAAAAGGCTGGTGCCAGATACACCTGAAACGAATGAGAAACTGAACACAATTTAAGTCAGTAGTTGAATTATATTATAACTTATAAGAAATAACATCTCCGTTTCTTACAAAAGAAACAAGACAGGACAGAAAAGGTAACATCATGTACTGCATTCGTCAATGAATCCCCTCCTCTCCTCATACTCTTAAAATAAATATGTTATCTATCATTTACACATACAACCAACCAAATTCAATTTTTACCATTTACCAACAACCTATCACAACCAAAAAATATATATATCATATACCAGACTTTCAAATAAATATAGAAAATCCATCAATATTATACTTTATTTATAAAAAATTTAAAACCATGTATTTAATATATTTTTTACAATTTTTAGATAAATATATTATCCAATAAATAACTATTAAAACTAAAAAGAATATATATATATATATATATATATATATATATATATATATAAATTACACAAATGGTCCCTATGGTTTGGGGTAATTTGCACGAATGGTCACTACCCAACCTTGCCACACAAAAATAGCAATGATGAAAACAGTAGTAGTAGTAATCATAATGATAATAATAATAATAATAATAATAATAATAATAATAATAAGGATGAATGAAAGAGATTAACATAGGTTGTTGCAAGGGGGGGAACTCACAAAATCTGGATGAAGCATATGAGTAAGGATTTATAGAATGAATATTGTGAAAGAAATGCGGTGCGGTTATATGAATATCTCCCATGGACAAGTATCAATCTTTTAAGGAACCTGAACTCTGCATAGTAACACAAATGGAGATATTACTTCCTGTGCATCAGGGTATAATAAACTTAAACAAAAGAGCAATTTATTGCCATTTAAAACTAAGTTAATAATATTTTAAATAATTCTGAGACATGTGAAATTATTGAACCCATAAATAATCCCAAAAGCAATGAATGAGAACCTAAAAGAATGATGCCATGGACAGGAGATGTTTCTTTGGAAGAATGGGATTGACGAAGGTAAGGAATGAGTCTGTTTGGTGATCAATAGGAGCGGAATGTATTTAGATATGACTTTTTTTTATATAATATGCAGAAACATATCTACTCTATGATTTAATTATAATCAATGAAGATTTTATCCATGAACATTAATTAAATAACTAAACCTAATAGATTAAATGTTCACCTAAACCCAAATAAGTATTTAGTAAAAGATATATATATATATATATATATATATATATATATATATATATATATATATATATATATATATTATTCTAGCTATTTTTAGAAAATAAGATGGTAATATAATTGAAATCATGAATCATGAATTGATAAATAAATGAATAAAGACGGGAGGGAGTTGGGTGATATTGCAAATTATAATGTTGTTCCACTTCCACAATGGAATGAGAAAACAAAAACAATTGGAAGGTTGGTAAGGAATGAAATTGAAGAAAATGGTATTTGTTTCCATTCAGTTAGTTGTTTTCATTTCGTAATCGTATTGCTGGCTAAAAGAGAAAAATAAAAATGCAGTAGTAGATCTATCTTACTCCCAATACTGTAATCAGCTGCTCTTGCTGCCTGTAGTCCTTCTCTCCCACTTATGCCAACACCAATATCAGCTTGTTGGATCATCCTCACATCATTCCCACCATCCCCAATGGCCAGGGTTCTGTAGTCACAAGATTTAAGAAGCTCTACAAGCTACAATACAAAGAGCTTTAGTACCAGTCCAATCACAGAATTATAATTATAAACAAACAAACTAGTACCTGTGCTTTCTGGGATGGTGTAACCCTACAACATATAGCTGTCCGTGACAATATTGCCAACTCTGTGAATGCTTTCCGGTAATACTTGAGTGCAATTTCAAGAGCCCATCCATCTATCACAAAAGCCACATCCTGCAACATACATACATACATACATACATAAATGCCTTCTAATTAAATCAAACACAACAACCATCAATAATAAATCATAAATGTAACTCATTTCTTACCTTAGGTTCTGCTTTTGTTATCCTCATTGTAAGCAAAACTCTTTCCAGATTTCTGCAAACTTCATCTTCTGTTTTTCCATTAACTAACAGAAGCTGCCCTTTGGGTTCTACAAGTACAGAAAGAAATTTGAAAAATCATAAATTCTAAAATTTAACTCATCCTTCCTACTCAAGATACTTAAGGTAATTAATAACAACATAATTTTGTTGATTTCTTTCCAGGCACAGCATTGTACTTTGAAAAATCTAAGGATCATCTACCCAATTATCATCCAAATAAAAAAGCATTTTTTACTGTTATAACTCAAAAGTATAATAATGTCCCTAATAAGCAAAATAATAATAGCAATAATAAAGTACAATGCTATCATTGGGCAAATTTTCAAACAACATTGGCCTTGATAAGAAAAAAAAATCCAAGTACTAAGCTGTAACAAAAAGAAACCAAGTATAAATGAAAGTACACTGCTATATCTTGCATTTCAGGTATAGCTCAGGATAAAATATCTGACATGTAACAACAAAAGAGTGCAGTGCAGTGCAGGCTTTAGAGTCTAATCAATGAAAATTTGGAGACATTAGTGGCTTTGCTGCTCTCAAGTAATGCATTACCATCATAGGAGAGCAAGGCACTTAACAGAGCTTTTTTCCAACTTGTTTTTTATATCTTTCACCAAGTACGCATCTATCACTATTTGTGAATTGTGATTCAAATTCTACACACAAATATATGTGTATGACTATGTTTGTTGAGTGGTTTCTCAATCCCTAAAAAAATTAACTAATTTTTTAACCAAAACACTTGTAGTTTCATTGTAAACCAGCATATATAGTATATACTATACCAAATGTCAATTGCTTTTACAAAACTTCTAACGGGTAGTTTTATAATAAAACTACAACAATGATAGTTGAAATAGTTTACTCTGATGTTTTTCTTTTACTTCCATTTTTTCAAATTTCATATAAAGGTAACATACTTTAGTCATTTTCTGACTTTAGGAATCCTACTAATTTCAGTCCAAAATTAAAGGACAAAACTTTGATCCAAGGTAATTTTTTTCTTGAAAACCAGGTTGTCGATAGAAACCTTTTCGTGTATATATGTATAGAGGTTTCTGTGTGTGATATGCATTCAAGAACAGAGAAAAGAAAAAAGTAACGGAGAAATATGGATTAAAATACTTGTTTTTTTTTTCTTATAAAAGCAAAGCCATTGAAATTATCCAATAAAGACTGTGTTTGTTGCACACACAGGATAGGAGAGGACGGACAGGACAAGCTTTGTAGGGCTATTTTCAATGATGAGGGCATTCACGTCTTTTGCACAAAAAAAAAGACTGGTCCTGCTTCTGGTTCCATCCCACCAAAAGTGGCACAACATGTTATGCATATCAAGTCCTTCTTAACAATCCCTAAAGAAGAACACCCATGTTCCTTTGAGGTTTAGGTATATCTAGATATGAGTAAGAGAATGATCCCTTCCCAGTTCCCACTACAAAGTACAATCAATCACCAGTCACAAGTGAGAAATATTTGCAGATGCCTTGGCATATATGAATCAACGTAATGGAGATTAGTTCCGTTAGAAGTCTAGAAAATCAATGTTCATGTTCATGTTCTGATATCAAGCAAGGTGAAGGTGAAGGTTTCACTACATAATTTTAACAAATATGTACCTGGGGAAACAAAATTGCAGGAAAGAGCAATCTGTATAGCGGTATTCTGTTTGTCACCAGTAAGCATCCAGAAATTTATCCCAGCTTTTCTGAGGGTTTCAATCGTCTCTGGCACACCATCCTGAAAAATATGCGACATACAAAAACTATAATGCTTCTTGGGTTGGGTTGCCAAAATAAGAGCATTGTACGTTGAAAAGTCTACTTGTTTATAGTATGTATGTATGTTCCTATTTCTTGCATTTCAGCTGCCAAGCTAACTATATCTGCTTCAAAGAAAATAAAGATTAACCTGTAAACGGTCCTCTATCGCAGCAACCCCAAGTATTTCAAGGTCATGTTCCAATCTTTGGCAAACCTCAGCTACTCTCCACTACAAAAATAAACCGATCATGTGAAAAAGAAAAATGAACAGACAATATCAAGATATAAAATAATAAAAATATAATGGTTTACACCACCCAACCAACCAGCCCCATGGACCTGACTTATGGATGCTTGCTGCCAGGTCAAGCAAAAGCATGTGATGATGTCTTTATGTTGTATGTATGTACGTATGTATTTATTTGTACCTCTCTGTCAACTAATGTGCTATTAGCCTCTTTAAACATCACAGACCAATCTTGATATTCCAACTCATTTAATTCACGCCAAGCCAAGCACAAAGTCCGTAGCCCCATTTGGGCATATTGATCTACAGCTTCAGAAAATGTCTTGGTTTGATGTCCTGCCAGTGCCACATTTTACAAGTAGCTATTTAAAAAACTTATATTATGATTTATGACCAACACGAGGAACACGGAATGCTTACCCGCATATGCACATGGAAGAATAGTTTCATCTGCTCCTTTCGACAAAAGCATAATATTCCCCTTATCACAATCTCTAACAACCACCGACATTCTTTTCCTATCAGAGGTAAACTCCAGGTACTCCAGCACCTCATACTGCTTTAACGACCCATTAAAGTTTATTTCTGCACACATAGTATTTTCTTTTAAATTACTAGCATAATTCAAATATTTCATTTAAAGGAACAAGGATGAATTCATACCAAGTATGTTAGAATTCTTGTTAACAAAAACCATATGCAAGGAAGCAGCTGCACGCACTAGAGCTTCCTCATCCTGCGACTGTGCCTTATATGAGACCGTTCCGCTTGGGCTGTAATTATTTGTTTCAGGTACAATTACATCATGCAGAAAACACAAAAACCAAAATGATGCAGCTTTCTTGGCGAAACAAGAGTGAAATGCAAGAAAAAGCAAAGCACTTTCACCTCATTTGTTTATTATAGCATCATACTTTTTATTCCTCCTATTACACTTACACCATCATAATTTGAAAAATCTACCCGATTATAGCAATGTCACCAAGCAATTTTCACTGCTATAATTGGTACATATTCAAGACTACAATCTCCTATCAAGAAGAAAACTGGAAGTACATTGTCATTGATATAAATTAAATGGAGGACTTTGCAAAGTACAATGTTGGTAATAGTAAGATATCGCTATTTCTTGCATCTAGCCAGCAAAAAAAAAAAAAAAAAAAAAAAAAGCCAATGAGGAATAACCTTTTGATAGGAATGACAGTGTTACATATTGCCATAACCGTCAGAAATCTAATAGCATCTGGTGAAGCAGTATTGATGGCATTGAGAAGCTCCACATCTGTAAAAAGTACATTGAAAGAAATTTTAATGAGAAAGCAAGAGTACGTAGTATAAAGTAATCCTACATAAAGGAAATAACTAAATAATGTGTTCTAAAATCATAAATTTATAGAAATGCTTAAGTATTAATTATTTAATATTTCACTAACCATATTGATTTTTTAACTATATGATAAAAATAAAAAACAAAAAACATTTGATAGAAGTATACGCAAATAATAATAAACTATAAATAATGAAACACTTAAATACTTTTTTTGGAAAATTTCATCACATTTGGGGAAACGGAAAGGAGAGACAGATGATGGAAAATTTGTAAAAAGTTAGGACTTTATAAAGAGACCATTCCTTTCCCTGATTTATCTGTTAAGTCATTCTATCATCTTTATGCATTTTGTCTTTCTCTCTCGCTTCCTTAATCCTTATCTTATAGGGATGAACATTTTAACCGAAAAACCAAACTGGTAGGAACCGATAAGTGGTATCGTTCCGGGAAGGTTCGCGCTTATCTCGGTTCCGGTACCGAACACCTTCTTAGATGGCACACTTTCTAGTAGAACCAAATCAGAACCAGAACCAGAACCAGAACCGTTTAGTGGTATTCGGTCCAGTTCTCAGTTCCTCCTTCACTCCTTAATCGGTCTTTGGTTATTCCGGTTATAGAACCGGTTAGATCCCTACTTCCTTATATATATATATATATATATATATATATATATATATATATATATATATATATCATTCATCTCAGTTGTTCACTCCAATACCTGAAGAAGATCGAGGAGGTTGTGGTTCCTTTATTGTATGTATCAGGTATGTAAGTTATTCTATTAGGGTTTATATATATATATATATATATATATATATATATATATATATATATATATGATTTGGTTCCAGAAACTTATTAAAGCTTTCCTTGTCTTTCTTCTCTGCCATCTCAATTTCAAGTAATACCTCTTTACTATCAAATTATTACAGCTTAGGAGAAAAAGACAAACCTTTCACAGCATCTCCATTCTCATTACCAAAGAATGTCCCCGCAATGCAACATCTCTTAAAAATCATCTTATTTTCTGTAAGTGTCCCTGTTTTATCTGTCAGTATGTACTCAACTTGACCCAGATCTTCACTTATTGCTGTGCTGCCATATAAAAAAAAATAAAAAAATATAGCAATAAACTGAATAAGGTGACGTAGCATATTTGGAAAAGATGATAAACAAATTACACTTTTCTTACTTTGTTGCATTGGCTGAAGTGCCAGTCTCCAGGTCAATCATCTGTTTATCCCAATCAATGAACTTTGCATACAAGCTTTTAACAAGATCTAATGACACCTGCCAAAGATGAGGGAAAATGAACTGGCATATCAAACAGCAAACAAACCATAAATAGAGCCTGTATATTGTAGAAGATGCTAAATGCAACAAGTATACTTTTATTTATTTGTGTATTATAGCATCCTACCTTCATTTCTTTCTATTACAGCATTGTACCTCCAAATTTAATTTTTTTTCTTATACTACGTTGAATGTACCCAAAATTGTAATATCTACCCGATTATAGTAAGGGTAAATGGCACAAAAAACACTCTTTTTACACAGAAATTCTATTTTGACACCGTGTTTTTTTTGTGTCAATTTTGACACTGTGTTTTCCAATTTGTTACAATTCTGACCACTTGACCGGTTAACCAGCTTGCATGATGACGTGTCAGTTTTGATGACGTGGCATGCTGACGTGTCAAAATTGAATTTTTTTCTCACAAAGGTATTCAACTGATGTGATGCCGAAAGAGCTTTTTGTTAATGACCAGTTGGTGGCCTTGTAAAAGTAGGAGTACTTGGGTAAGGAGATGAAGATGTGAATCCCAATCGGTGCTGTAAACTAGAATGTTGTCAAAAAAGACAAGAACCCCTTGGCGAAGAAATGGTCTAGAAACTTTGTGCATTAAGGCGTGAAACATTGAAGGCGCGTTAGTTAGCCCAAATGGCATAACTAAAAACTCATAGTGGCCATTATGAATACGAAAAGTTGTTTTGTGGGCATAAGATTCATGCATCCTGTAGGTGGCCTTGTAAAAGTAGGAGTACTTGGGTAAGGAGATGAAGATGTGAATCCCAATTAGTGTTGTAAACTAGAATGTCGTCAAAAAAGACGAGAACCCCTTTGCGAAGAAATGGTCTAAAAACTTCGTGCATTAAGGCCTGAAAGGTAGAAGGCGTGTTAGTTAGCCCAAAGGGTGTTAATAAAAACTCATAGTGGCCATTATGAATACGAAAAGTCGTCTTTTGGGCATCAGATTCATGCATCCAGACTTGGTAAAAGCCTGATTTAAAGTCGATCTTTTGAAAAGAATGTAGAACCATGAAGTTCATCAAGTAGTTCCTCAACTACTAGAATTGGATATGTGTCAGGAATAGTGACACGGTTGAGTGCTCTATAATCGATACACAGTCTCCAAGAGGAATCTTTCTTGCGTACGAGTATAACTGGACTGCAAAGGCATTGTGGCTCATACGAATGATCCCGGTAGATAGCATCTCATCACCCTGGCGTTGAATTTCATCTTTTTGTAGATGTGGATATCGGTAAGGGCGTACACAGATTGGACCCTGTCCTTCCAGGAGTGTAATACGGTGTTCGATAGAACGAACAGGAGGGAGTCCTTGGGGAGTCTGGAATAGTGGTGTAAATTGGGTCAGAATAGTAATTAATTGATTGTGTTGGGTAGTAGAGAGAGTAGTGGAAGGTTCCTGAGGATCAGTAATGGTGTTTAAATAGAGTTCTAGCCAATAATTAAGTGAATGGTGTGTAGGAGTTGGAGATATGCCACGTAGTATAATCTGGAATCCTTGAACGCATCTCCTGTTTCAACCAATTGAACACAACGTCTCCCAAAGATCCCAGCCAAGCAACGCCCAAAATGATATCCAAAGATCCCAACTCATAGACAAGAGCATCAACTGTATAAGAATAAGAGCCCATGTATAGAGAAATACCTTTGCAGATTTCCGCCATCATGACTTTAGTACCGTCACCCAAACTGATAGACAATGGTTTGGTATGGAAGATGGGAAGACCCAAGGTCGAGACTAAGGTCTTTGAGATGAAATTGTAGGTTGCACCACCAACCAACATAAGGGCAGTGAATCCATGGAGCTATCCTGCAAGCTTCAAAGTAAGGAAAGTGGTAGAGAGATCTGGTGTGAAACCTTGAGAATCTAACACATGGCACTCTCCATCGATAAGGATATCTTCGGTTTGGTCGTATTCGAGATGACAGTAAGAGTAGGACGCGAAATTGACCGTCGGCACATTTATGTTGTGGAGAAATTTTTTGACCACGGTTGAAACATAGCCCTAGACGTCGGCGTTCTTCCCAATCTTGCTTGGAGAGGTGTTTGATGCGATTAGGACGATGTGTAGTCGTAAGTGGACGGGTCGGGTCAGGAGGTTTACCCATGGATTGGCCCGTAGTGATTTGGGGTCGAGGTGTTGCACTAATAGGATTTGTAGGCTTAGTAAAGGAATAGGCTGAAGAAGAGTTACCTTTCCATGGTGGATAGCCCGATCCGAATGAAGAAGGCTTACATAGAGTAGCAGGGTAATTGGTGTCGGTGGTCATGGCGAGCCAGTTCCATGGCTGTGTCACAGGTATTGGGACGTAGCGTACGAACCCAATTTCGGATGGTTGGTTGGAGGCCTCGTAAGAATATCCCGAGAGATTGATCCTCTGATTGTTCGGGTATTAGAGCTATTAGAGCTGAGATAGACTCAAATTGCTCGATGTAAGTTTAAATGTCGCCTTCTTAATACAGAGAGCCCAAAGCTTCAGTTGCATTCAAAAAAGGAGAGTTGCCAAATCGAACAATAAGGTTTGCCTTGAAATGTTCCCAGGTGGTTTGGGGGTGTTTGAACATCAACGTGGTGAACCAATTGAGTGCAGAACCATCCATACACATCTGAATGAGCTTTAATTTGTTGGAATCGATGGTTTGCTGAACGGAAAAATAAAGCTCGGCTTTGGTTATCCACCTACGGGGGTCGTCTCGGTAACTTGACCTTGGGTAGAGAGAAAAGTGAATCATCAGAGGTTTGGAAACGTGGGTTTAAGACGTCGGAACGGTAAATGACACCAGAGGAATCACCTTCTTCAATGTGGCGCTCAGGACGGTCTAGAGAGGTTTGCATCAATTTCTCCATTAGCTCCTTCAAGGATTTGAAAGAGTTGGCCATGTCTTGCATCTGTGTAGAGACTGATCTGGTCCATTTTTCCCTCACGAGCATTCATACGATTATTCAGAGATTGGAGGCAAGTGGTAACTTGAGCTTCGTTGTTATCAGGCACGATGAGAGAAGGAAGAAAAGCTGGGCAATGGAGCCAATTGATAGGAAGGAGATATATAATGTAATAAATCGATAATCAACTATAATCTATAATAATGCTTGAATGCTTGATTTATTTCTGAAAATGGTAAAGAGAAGAATACAAGAGGGAATATCAAAGAAGAGAGCCAATGATCACTCTTCCTGACCAAGCTAACTACTAGCCGATCCTTCCTAACAGAAAAATATTCTCTCCACACCCGCGTTCACCTAGTATCTCCATGTGATGTAACAAACTATGATGTCATCTTACAACTGTCCCACTTTCTTCTTACGTTAGTAGACGTTCCGAGGCTTGGGCTCTTCAATGGGCTTAGCAATTGTGACGGCTTGTTCTCTATGACTCTATCAACATTGTTATAATCCGGTGGATTTTAATAATAATTGAAAGTCATGCATTTAGCTCTAAAAGAAGACGTGAAAGTAAAATGCTATAACAAACAAACTAGTGAAAGCCATGCATTTAGCTCTATTTTATTCACCAATCCAAATATGTTTCAATAGAAATTTCTCATGTGATCAAAGCAAAATTATGGCCATAACTGTTCTTCACGTATCTTCTGACAAACAGCTATGTAAATTAAAAGGCTTCAATTATAATAAGCAACAAGCATACCATCAAAGAATAAAGACCTAATCCTAAGTAAAATTACCTTTATAGATATTGGTATCATGATGGAACAAAGAAGCTCAAACCGCAGAGGGATTATCAGTAGTTCATACCATGGACCCTCATCTGGATATAGAACATACCAATGCTGCATAAGGAAGATACGAACATGAGTTCAATTGTCCAAGTGTGACAAGAGATATGAGATAGCAAATTAGGGGGCATTGTTGGAACATCCCTTAAATATGTGGCCTTAAGACCTTTTACACCAACAATACTAGTACATAACATTTGTTATCATTTGTACTACATTCATTTTGACTTAAATGACAATATCTAGCGTAACTAACTAATTTATGGAAATAACTGCCATGTAACTTGGTCTCTTTCCCAGGTGATGTCGTGAACATAAAGAGAATCAGAAAACTCTCTCTAGTAACACCTTAACTTGTGAAGTCCTTTCTTTACATAAATTACGGAATGGCTTCCTCATCAAACTTAAATCCTGAATAGGAGTTGTTATCATGTAAGTTTTCCTTTAATGATTTAATCAGCCTATTGGATAGATTGACTTGATTTAAGATTGACTCCTGTTACATGTTTAATTTGATCAACAGGAATAAGATACATGACGCTCAGGACTAAAATAGATTATGTAAAGAAGCCATTCAATAATAATTGACCTACAGAGTAAAAGAACCCATAAATAGTTTATGATGAAGATGCCACGTCTGCATAGATAGATTATACAAGTGAAGTTGAAATCATTCCAATTTTATGTTGCCATTTCTGCATAGATAGATTATTTATGTGAGCTGATATGATTTGAACTCATGCTAAATCAGAATGAAGTCTTAAGTCATGTAAAGAGGGCAACTTAGGAAGTATCACAATTCACAAAAGCTCCTATCACCATCAGCAACAAAGAATACCAATCCTAGAAGTAGAACCACAGATGGCATAGCAACTATAAACCTTAGACTTGATTTTGAAGTGTTAACTTTGTATGTATCCAATCAGCAGAATGAGATGAATGGTGCAAAAACACATAAATTATAAAGTAGTATTTTGAATCAAGAACAAGCATAAGTATGTGAAAGGAACAGTGTAGCTGTAGCAGAGTAATGTACATGATGAGAGTGAGGCAAACAGTATACAAACCTTTCTTGCTTCTGTATCCTTCCATATATTTCCAGCTATGCCCAAAACAATTACCACCACAATCTGAAATATGAATATAGCCCCAGTCAACTTGTCAATCATCGCGTCCATAGCAGTAAGCTTCGGTTCTGCCACACCTCTACTCATGCCCATCTTGGTCTCATTGCCTGCTTGACAAATCATGGATCAGCTAAAAAGGAGGAGATACTTTCATAGATTCCTGCTAAATAGAAAGACTTTCATCTTTTGTATGTGAACTGTGAAGAGATAGGACATGCCTGTATATACAGCAACACCACAAGCCCAGTCTGTATTCCGTAAGTAGCATGATTGTAGGATTGTATTTTTTATGCTTAAAGGGCACACATCATTATCTAAAAATGGAGGAAACAGCCTCAGATTTGCATCAAATCTTCTAATGTCCTTATCTGGGTGTGGGCACTCAATCACACCCTGCAAAAAAGAAGACCCCATATAAATAAAGGGCTGTTTAGTTCGTAGAATGTTTTTGGAATAGGTATCATAATTTGTCACTTGTTTGGTTGGCAGGAATTTGGAAAGAATTCAATAATAAAACTTAAATATCTTTTGCTCTTTACTTAAAATTTGATTATCTTTTTGTTTATTGTAAATATATACAATTCGATTTTTTATTTCAAAATTATATATGATGAGGATATTTTGGTCGGAAGAATGAAACTTAATCCCTTCCACCCTTCCCTAGGAATAGTGAAATTGATCAAACATGGAATTTGAATTCCATCCTAATATTGTGTAATGCGTGAGAATAATTAGAATGTATCCTCAAGTTATAGAGTAAATATGCAAATCTTGCCTTGATTTTGTGCAACAAGTCAGAGTCAATACCCATGCAAGCAGGAGGTATATTCCTTGTCTTAAGGTCAGTTTCACCATCTAGGGCAGCCGTCTGCAAAATATGTTATTAAATGGTTACAAGCTATGATATGAAATGTATAGTAGAAACTAGAAAGAAACAAAGAAGGAAATAGAATGCTAATTATTTCTCTAACTTGATTAAGCTCTATCAAGGTGCATGATGGTAAATACAAATTTCCATTTTAGTATCAAACTCCAGATACTAAAAGCTCCCAAACTTGGCAAAAATCAAATTTAAACATTGACTTGTTTATCAAATGGGACCACATGAGGTCTTCAAGACAAATACCGGCTTATAATCATTATAATTTCTTTAATTCTCCTTTTTGTTCCTACTTACTATATATTGCCAAACATGAGATTCTAAAAGGATTTAATGTAGTAAATCATATGATACAACCTTATCTAATGCAAACACAAACACAAACACAGGCCATGGTGTTGCCTATTTGCTTTCTCAATTTATGGATGCTTTATCATTTATGTGGATTAGTTGTAGGTTTGGTGATGGAGAGTTGAACTCTTGAAGTGCCAAGGTTCCTATAAATTATATATATATATATATATATATATATATATATATATATATATATATATCCTCTAACTAATAGTATTCCTGTGACAACAAGCACCATCACCCAAGCTAGTCATGGCAGGCTAGAAATTCTACATAATAAATCGTATGAGATATCAGCAAGAAGTAAGAACATAGTCATAGAGTAGGAACCGAAACATACCTCCACATAGCAAACTCCTTGTGGCTCGGAGGTACCAAGTAAAACGAGATCACATGGAACTTCATCATTTTCACGTAGCCACACCAGGTTGCCAACGTGAATCTCTTGCGCTTGAATCTTCAATTAAAATTCATTAACATGGTTTTTGAGAGAAATAGTCAAAGTCCACAAAATTTATCCCTTTATCACAGAAAGAAATTTTTTGTCTTATTGAGTTGGTTTAGCACTTACCAGTTTCTTGGAACCCTGCCTCACAACCCATACTTGTTTCTCATTTGCTTTCTTGTCAGAGAGATATCTATTGTAGTCATCCCATGCCTCTTTCGTTGCTGAGACTGCGAATATAAATATGAGTGGACCCCACGTACTAGCGGGGTTTACTGGTGTTATAAGCGGCCATAGTTGAAGACAAGCGATCAACAAAAAGTATTGGTTCATAAAGCGGCTGGGAAAAAAAGAAATTTAGAGGAACAGGTTAGAATGTGGTAGAAAGAGGTAAACAGAAGTAACTAATAAAGGGCAACAAAAGATGATATCACTTGCAAAACCACATCAAAAAATTAAGAAAACTAGCTTCCAATCATCCCATAAAGGAGGTCATACTTAGAAAGTCCTATCTCATGCTCAATATTTCAATATATATATATATATATATATATATATATATATATATATATATATATATATATATATATATCCGCTCATCCCACTTATCTTCATGAAACATTTAGTTCTACTTATACAAAATTTTTGCTCCTATTCTCTTCAAAAACTAGGCGCTTTCATTATCAAACATAAAGACATAAAGTACAATCTTTTCTATACTCATCCCAACACAACATAACCATGTATAACTACAATATTCAATTGAGATACATACTCAAATCATCATATCAGCATCTAAAATCTTAAAATACATCTCAGATATTACATTACCTGAACTGTTCCCATAAATTTTTCGGGATGAAATTTAACAATGTGTACTTTCTGTTTGATATACGGTTATCACAGTAAAGCTCATGCGACAAATCGTCGTCATTGGCATACACAAAACGCTTCATTTTTTACTTTGGTGCATGCAATCATACTCCTAATATGTTCACCCGAGATCAAATGCAGGCAGCTACAAATCATCTTCAAGAAAATCCATGTCCTGAAATTTGTTACACAATATCAATAAACATTACATACACTCTCATGGGAGCAGCTAGCTACATGGCACAGGCTTGCAAGACATGAAGAACAATATCCTCGACCTTTATACCAGTTAGGGATAGGCTACATAAGAATACCTAGTTATGCACCCACAAGAAAAGAATGCTACCTTGTATGAAAGCTAAAACTTAAAAATCAGTTCTAAAGCATTCAGAAATTCATAGTTTAATTGACTTTTTATTTTACATTGCAAATTTAAAATCAAGAGCATTTTTTGCAGAATTCTCCCAGCTCATTATTTTTTTCTTTCATATTTGTTTAATTACAGTAGTTTTGCTCTACTGCTTGGATGCCATGCCATCCAAGCAGTCAAAAGAGCATTCAAACCAATTGACGTGTGCATAATCACAAAGATAAATTAAACTTAAGCATGAATGCATCACAATATAACTAGGGTATAGGAGTTCATCTAGCTTCAGTTACTTGATGCCGAACACATAAGTACTCAAACTGCCAAACACATCCTAAAAGTCTATCAGAATTGACGAAATCAGTTACAGAAAATGGCGAATTTCATCTAAGAGTTGGAATACATACGGATCAGGTAGTGAATTTGACGAATAAAGCTGAAACCCGAAAATCACAAGAGCGCGTATGAATCAAAGTAAACGAGATGTTTGATACCTGAGGGGAATTGGCGTGGGTGCGATTGGGTCTGAGCTTCTTTCCAAGAGAATATGCTTCTTAAGGGGAGAGTTGAATAGTCAAGACTCGGAATCTCGGATATGCTTTCTTCGATGGTTCGATCAGGGACCAAAGTCAGCTATTTCGTTTCTCTGTTAAGAATTTGCAAATTATGCCCTCAATAGTACAGGAAAATAGAAGGCAAATCTGGTGTAGTCACTCAATTTGGGAATTCTCAATACTCGAGATTCATAGAAATTATATTATATTAGCTAAAGAAATTAGATTATATTAAAGATGGAAATAAAACTACATTAGATAAAACAATTTTATATAAAATGGAAAATAAAATTTTTAAAGAAGCTATATATATCGTTTAGTAAAAAAATATAAAAACAAAAATATCCAGAAAAATAATTAATCGAGATAAAAGATTATATTAAAATTTGTCACTAAAACCAACTGGATTTATAACACTCTATTTCAAGTCGTTTCATAATTTGGGGCCATGACTCGAAGACCAATTATCATAAGGTTTCGGGCATTGAGGAAAATGAGGTTTAGACCCATTTGGATATGGGTGATGTGGATTTTGTGATCCAAGAGTTTGATTTGTGCTTTAGAGCGCAAAGGTTATATTAGTAAAGTGATGGTTTCGAACCTTTTATTGAATTTAAGGATTTTAGTTTGATGTGTTTTAAGTAAAAGTAAATAGATAAGGTTGTAGAGCTCCTCAACACCTTGAACGAATAAGTTATAACCATCTGAAGTTAAGATTTTGGGCTAGCCGGGAATGTTGAGCGTACAATGAATGTACATTGGGCGTTTAGGGCTGGGTGATCGTGGAGGCTCCTTCACATACGTTGGGCGTTCGCGTCTCAAACCCAAACCCTAATTTAGGACCTTGGACCCTATTTAAACACCTTAACTCATTTCCAACCCTTATTATCTTCAAAATCCATCCCCTCTAACCCTAAATTAGAAACCCTAGCCCCATTTGGAAGGATCTCGAGCCTTTGAGTGATTTTGGGTGGATTTTTACTGCATTTGGAAATAGAAGAACTCCTTTGATAAGTGTGGGTTGTCTTGAAGCTTGGAGATCCAGACCTTATTCATCTAGATCTAGCTTCTTGAGGTATAAAGTCTTAATCTTGATAATGCATATGTTAGATCTAGCTAGTTTTGGGTGCTTTGAGCTTTTGATCACTTTAATTCATAAAGTTTAGATCTTGAAAGTTTGTGACCTTATTATAGATAAATGTAACATACACGTTTTTAAATCGTGTTTTGTAATGAATAAAATTGTGAAATACTATGTGAAATTGAGTTTTGAGTTCCAACAGATGGTTTTTACTAGAAATGAAGTAAAACTATGTTTGCAATCACTCAGAAAATATTGGAAGTCTTATGAGATTCCAATTAAAAGCCAAATAGTGAAATTTAGCGAAAATATAAAATTTTAAATAAGTAAAATTTTATTATTTATGTTGTAGAGAATCTCGTTAGAAACTTGTAGGCGAAAACCTCGTCGAAATCCGAGTTATAACGAAGAAGTTGTGACTAACCGAAGATCCGCGACAAAACCGGCACCGAATGACGTAAAAAGTGAGTTTTTGATAAACTACTTTTTAGCCTTAGTAATCTAAATGAAAGTCGTATTATTCGTTAAACCGAAAAATTCGATAAAAAGAACGCCAAAATCTGACTTCGTATGAGGAAGTTATGATTTTTCGAAGTTTCAACTTAGCAGTAGACAGCTAAAAACTCGAATTTTAGATCGAGCGATATTTGACCGATAGATCCTAAACGAGAATCGAAGGTCTCGTCATTTGTATTACAACGGTAAAAAGTCTGACGAAAACGGATGTCGGATGAAGAAGTTATGAATTTTTAACGGATTTTCCTGTCCCGATCTGTTAAAAATAATTATATTAAAAATAAAGTCAAAATTAGCCGACGAAGTCTAAACGAAAGTTGTAGAGAGAAATTTTAGCTACGCGTGCATATAAAGAACGTAAAAAACGGAGCTCGTATGCGAAAGTTATGGATTTTAGAAGTTCGGGGCCCGAAAACCGAGAAAACTCGCATGAACAGTGTTCGGACACGTCACCTCGCACGAAGAAGCAGCGTCACCGGAGACATGGCCGTTCCGAGAAGCAACACGTGTCGCATGCTGATTCGACCGAAGTGCGAGCCAATCAACCTCCGACACGCCTCGCTGCGGTGTCCGAACCTCGCTCCTCCACGTCTCGCCTACCTCTCGCATACGAAGCCACGTCTGAGCCTCGTGGCCTTCGCTTCTCGCGCCACCTGCCACTCGTTGCTGACGCCACCGAGTTGCTTCACTGCTTGCTTCCTTCCCAGCCGACTCCGAACCTCGGCCCTATAAATAGGAGGGTGCGAACCCTCCCGGCTAAAACTTGAAAATTTTCATTTTTCACCCCTAAATCCATATTTTCACTATTTTGACTTTTCCCGAATCCCCGGTATCAATTGTAGCACCGGAAACACGTCCCGAGACCCCCGAGAAGCCTGGAAATTTTATCTTTTTGGTTTTGAAGCCCTACCTTCGCAGAGCCCGGTTTTCAATTAAGCTCCCGGTTTTCAACATAGAAAGACATATTTAAACATGAAGTGTTGTCCAAATTACTATTTTAACCCCCGATTAACTTAAGGTGAGTTCAATATATAGGAACAATTGTATGTTATGTGTTATATGTGCTATTTGCTTTTTAATGTTATTATTCTGAGTTATTTTCCCGTGTTATTCGCTATGTTTATAGCAATTGTAATACCTTTGACCATGTGATCAGTGAAAGGACTTAGATTCACATTGGTACTGGTACGTAGCCTCTGGCCATGTAGAGCATGTCTCCGTAAGAGAATGACTTCTATTCTATGGCATTGGCAAATGGTTAGAAAGGACTATAAGCCTGAAATCTAACAAGATGTTAATTAGAAATTGCATGTTTTCTATTCCATTTGGGCCAAAGCTTTATTGATGTATATCAAGAATTGAAAAGTATATCTTTGAATAAAGTCTTTGATTGATATGAACGCTTGTCACATGATCTCACATACATCTTGTTGTTCCTCTTTTCTTTTGCCACATTGAAGTATATATATGGCATAACGTTATATTGTATATATTTTTGAACTCACTAAGCGTCACCGCTTACCCTAACAATGTTTAACAATTGCAGGTGATAAGTAACTAGTATGTTTACATACTATTGAAAGATTTAGAATAGTTTGTAATAGTACTTTTGTACTACAGTTTATGTTTGTATAAATTACAATATCTTGGGTAGTTATGTAATATATATAACACTTTGTAATAGACGGTTTGTATCCAATAGTTTGTAATCCCTTTATTAATGTAAAATATTGCTTCTATGAATATGCAAGTAGCATGTTTTGGAGTAATGATATTGTGAAGTATGAAAGTTTGGGTCTTTCAAATATACGAAAGTTTGGGTCTTTCAATAAAGTTGGAAACTTTATCCATCTTAATATCATATTGATTCAGATCTAAAGGTTGGACACTTAAACTTAATGGATTAAGTTGAAAAAGATGAACTCTTGGTCCATTTGAGACTTAAAGACTAGATCTTGGTCGTTTGGACCATTCTAATGGATAAAGTTGGAAACTATATCCATTATGGAGTTATTAGGAACCATAAAAACGTAATATTGATTGTTAATTTCCTCCCATGCATGAGTTTCAAGGTCTTAATGGGTTAAGTAGTAGAGCCTTCCAGTTGACAGCAAAGGAGGCATGTGCAGCTCATGATGTCGTTACTGTTGGATTAAGTGTCTAAGCGTGTAACTATAACAGGTATGTACTTAACCTAATAGTAGCATGGTCCTTTTGGGTTGCCTTCACCAAAACAATCTGATAGGATGGATATTTGTGACAACCCGAAATTTCTATTGTGTACAACCATTCAATTCAATAGAAGTTAGAACAGTTTCTGCTAACTTTCAAGCTTTTTGGATTAAGTTTGAGGGTTTTAAGATTAGTACTTCAGGAGATATCAGGAGAGAGGATGCCCTAGGGTTTATTGTGCAATAATATTATTCCAAAACTCCAAGAGTTTAGAGTTTACGGCCTAAACAAAGGTGTTTACGGCCGTAAACCCTAAAGGGGGGGTATAAATATGACACTTAGTCATATTTTACCATTTCTCACATTTTCAAGATCCAAATCTCAACTCTCTCT